AGGCGGGCGGCGGCGAAACCTCTGGGGTTTAAGGGGCCGGATCCAGCCCTGGGAGACACGCGCGGAGCACGCTGGAGGAGCTGGCGGGAGAACCACCCTTTAAGGCAAGACACGCACACCGTGAACATACAGCCTGCGGATGGCTCGTGGGAATTCGAGGGCGGAAGAGGAAGCACCCGGAGAAGGCGCGTGCGCGTACCTACGGGCGGGCTGCACTCGACGTCGGTGCATACAGGGGATGAAGGAGCAGGCTCGTAGTGACAGCCGGGCAACCCCATTCGGTCGCAGGCCCTTATCTTCCCCCGGACAATCCCCAAATAAAAAGCCCGCGGTGCCAAGGACGTAGCGAGTAGCGGCACCACCCGGACAGCTACGGGCCACGAGAGCCATTCCCGGACCGGCCTCGGAGCCGGGGCAATGGGACGTAAAGCCCACAGAGGGATGCCGATGAACAGCAACCGAGAACGTGGTCGTATCCCCTTGCACGCGAAGAGCTCCGAGCTTGAAGCAGAGGCGGGGCAGGAACCGGGGTTTGACAGGAACGGCGGCTGAATTCCAAGGACTGTAAGAGTTTTAGGTACCTGGAGGTACAGCCCCCCCCGTCCGGGGCATCAGGAAGCACAAGTGCGGAGGGGTGTATTCTTCTAGGTGCTAGGGGGTTGGAAAATGCGCGTGGAGGTAAAAGCCTGTTTCCCCTCGCCCCTCCTCCGCTTCCTGGAAATCACAGGGACAGCGTAAGGTGGAGCGCAAAACTGCTCTGGCTTCGCAGCTCCGGGGCCGTGGAAGGAGCCCTCAGGGAGGCGACAGGCAAATGCAGGTGGCCGACGGAGGGAGCAATGAAGCGCAGGCAGCCTTCCAGTCGACGCCGGCAAGCTCTCCAGGTGACCGGAGGGGAATAAAAGAAACAGAAGACAAGCATTTTAACAACATCAAAGCCCACCCGAAACGTTCTTGATGGGACATTGTGCAAATAGGAGAAATATTGGTCACGCTTAACAAAAGGCAGGGGCTAACCCTTCGGGCCGCTCGGTGCGGGAGAAGAAAAACGCGAGGACAGCGGAGCCGAACTCGGCGTAAGTCCCTGTGTCCCAGGCATTCCAGGCAAGCTACTCGTCCTCCGTGGAGGGAAGGGTCTCTTGTGCTCTCCGGGAGATGACAGATTATCCCACCTACACGGTAACTAAAAATACGCCACCCCTCTCCACTCAGGCTACGCAACTGCCCTAACTCAAACGCAGGAAAAACCCCGGGAAGGTTGCCTGGAGCACTGCTTTGGGGTTCGGTGCACAAACGAATTTTCAAGTACACGCGGCGTCCGGCGTCCAGGGATCAGAGAGCCTGCACCGGGCTGCCACAGGGTGCGAGCAGGTCACCTCTGAAGAGGGACGTGACTTTTTACGTTACCCGGGCGTTGCCGCACTCTCTCTTCTTTGACCCCTGGATGTCACTGCAGATACTGGTCTGCGAGATAAACGCAAACACCATCTTCAGGCAACTCTGAACTCCGCAAGGACAATGCGGGAGCCTCGGCATGGCTGGATTTCGGCCCCTCGCTTATCCTTCGGAGCACGTTGGTCCTCTTTGTAACAGCAAGATCTGAGCAGGTCTTTGGCAACTCACGGTCAGTGGAAGGCATGGGGATGGAAGAGGAGCACGGGAAAGGGCAGAATCCTGCTGCGGATCTCTGTTACAGCCTTGTCACAACAGCACCTGTGGGTTTCAGTGTGGAGCGAGAAAGGTTAAAGCTCATCCTTGGCATTAACAAGATGCTGCAGTGGATGAACCGGTATCGCGTGATCTCTCAGCAGCTGGTCCTGTGACCCTTCGCGGCTGTCAGGGGGTCTGTCGCCCGGAAAGTCTGTGGGAGCGTAATCCTCCAGCAGGCCAGCTTCTACCGCGTGGCGCCGGAGCCCCTCGCTCCCCACGAGCCCTTGCATTCTCACGTACCCCTGCCGACAGAAGGGAGGCAGCTTCTGATGGGTGAAGGCAAACAGGAAACAGGACTCTGCGGGGGAAAGGATCAAAAAATCAGACTCGGCAGAGATACCCCGTAGAGAAAAATTCCCATAAACTCTTGAGGACTCATTCAGAACAAAAGGCAGAGAGGATGAGGGAAGGTGACTGGAGTGTCCCACCCAGCACCCTGCCCCAGATGGCAGCAGAATCGTAGAATAGTTTGGGTTGGAAGGGACCTCTAAAGGTCATCTAGTCCAACCCCCCTGCCATGGGCAGGGACATCTTCAACTAGATCAGGTTGCTCAGAGCCCCGTCCAACCTGACCCGGAATGTTTCCAGGGATGGGGCAGCCACCACCTCTCTGGGCAACCTGCTCCAGTGCTTCACTACCCTCAGCGTAAAAAATTTCTTCCTTATATTGATATGTCTATATCTACCCTCTTTTAGTTTAAAGCAACTAGATCAGGTTGCTCAGAGCCCCGTCCAACCTGACCCGGAATGTTTCCAGGGATGGGGCAGCCACCACCTCTCTGGGCAACCTGCTCCAGTGCTTCACTACCCTCAGCGTAAAAAATTTCTTCCTTATATTGATATGTCTATATCTACCCTCTTTTAGTTTAAAGCCATTCCCCCTTGTCCCGTTGCAACAGGCCCTGCTAAAAAGTTTGCCCCCATCTTTTTTATAAGCCCCCTTTAAGTACTGATAGGCT